ACAGTTATGAAGTAGCAACGAAAATAATCTTATGGTTGGGTCACAACATGAGGAACTGTATTAAAGGGCCAGAAGGTTGAGGACCACTGGCTGAGGACCTGGGCCCCTTCTCTGGGCTGACGTCTCCATCCAGAGAAAAACCACTTGTCGAGAGGCATCAACAAGGAAGCCCCGTGTGTGTTCAGTGGGAATTCCTACCATCCGCCCGCTTTGACCCGGGTGGGAGCGACACGCACCTGCCTGCCTCCTCTGCCCTCTCCTCCCCGCGGGTCCCTGCAGCCTGGTCGCCATGCAAAGGGCAAGATCACCTCCCTTCCTAACCCGTCCCCACCCCCTGGGCCCTCTCACTGGGCCAGCTCTGGGCCTCCCCCACTGCCCCCAGTGGGCCCCGCAGACACCACGACACCCAGGCCTCTCTCTGGGCCCCGCAGACACCACGACACCCAGGCCTCCTTCTGGGCCCCGCAGACACCAGGACACCCAGCCCTCCCTCTGGGCCCCGCAGACACCACGACACCCAGGCCTCCCTCTGGGCCCTGCAGACACCACGACACCCAGGCCTCCCTCTGATTCCCGTGCAGCTCCGAGCAGAGCTCTGTGCTGTGTTCCGGAGGGAAGCGGATCGCGTGGACACAGAGAGCCAGGGAGCATGTGTGTCCAGAGGCGGGAGATAGCGGGCGGAGAAGAGAAGGACTTGTCAGCGTCTGAGATAAGATCGGAGGGGGGAGCCCGCTCATAGCATTGATGGAGCGCCTGCCTGCCAGGGGCTGCCGGCTTTCTCTCCCCTAATCACAGAAGCTGGCGTCAAACCATTACTCAGACCTGGCCAGAGGGTGGGTGTGGGAGAGAGGGGAGTGAGAGGGGGGCATCCATTATCCCTCCGTCCAGCAAAGGAGAGGCGATAAGAGTTACTCTAAGTGGTTTCACCCACAGGGACAGAGAGGAATGGGCCGCGGCCTCGGCGAGAGAGGAGAAACGCTTGACATGAGTAAATGCATCTGTGGCCCCGGCCGGTGTTGCTCAGTGGCTAGAGCGTCGGCCAGGGGACCGAAGGGTCCCGGGTTCGATTCCCGGCCAAGGGCACATACCTGGGTTGCAGGCTCCTCCCCGGCCCAGGGCCCTGGTCTGGGCCAGTGCAGGAGGCAACCCATCGATGTGTCTCTCTCACATCGATGTTTCTCTCTGTGTCTCCCCCCCCCTTCCACTCTCTCTGAAAATCAATGCAAAAATATCCTCGGGTGGGGATTAACTGAATGAATGCATGCATGCATGCATGCATGAATGAATGAATGCATGAATAAATGAATGCATGAATGAATGAATGTATGAATGAACGAATGCATGAATGAATGCATAAATGGATGGATGAATGAATGAATGCGTGCATCTGTGGGGCCACGTTGCTAACCTGACCAGCTCAGGGAAGGCCTTGCAAACTCAGAGACCTGAAGTCAGCACAGAGGATGGGCTGACATGAAAATGATTTAATTAAAAAGCAGTTTACAGCCCTGGCCGGTTTGGTTCACTGGATGGAGCGTCGGCCTGGGGACTGAA